GCCGGCGAGAGCGCCCGAGTCGGGGCGCGGCGGTAGCGGCGGCGGCGGGAGGCGAAGGCAACCCAGGCTGGGCCGGTCCCGCGGAGAGGGGTTCCCTGGGGCCGCGCGTCCCGCCTTTCAGGCCAGGTACGTGGTGGGAAAGGAGGAGGAACTGGATCCCGAAGCGAGGTGGGGCTGAGGCTCTGGGTTCTCAGGCAGCAGCTTCTGGAGGACACCGTGGAGGCCCGAGTTGGCTGTTGTGGGGTGCACAAACACCCTGGGCCCCATTGAGATTTGGCAATACCACTCCACTCCCTCCTGCTTTCACGCCCGCACTCCGCGCACCCTAGCTCTACAAGGGCTACCTGTCTCTCTGACCTCTCACTTCCCACGACACCCGTAAAATGTGGGGATCGAGATGAGTCGCTGGCAGGTGGGACTCCTCCCTCCCTTCAGCATATAGGTGCGCCAGCGCCCCTGACTGCACACGCACGGACCTGTGGCAGCTCTCACCCGGGCCAGCGTGCCTAGCTCCGTGCGCTCTCGGACTCAGTCTGGAGCTCAGAGCTCCTGAAGAAATGGAGACTTAGACGAGGCGACAGACATACACGCACTGCAGGCTGTGCCAGCCAGTCTTAGCCGAAAATAAAATGCTTTGGTCACCTCTTTGTTACAATCTAGCTGTGACGCCCACATACTTGGTGTAGAGGAGACTGTGGGTTCCAGGCGGTATTTTCTCTTCCCTGCCCCTCTTCTCCTTTTCCCCAGCTCTCTCCTTCCCTCTACTCCTCTCTTCTTCCCTCTCCCTCTGCCTATTCTCACTCAAGGGTCTGTCTCACTTGAGAACCACATAGATTTGAGTGTGTGAAGAGTTCCGCCTTCAACTCTTCACATTATACATTTAAAATGTATTTGAACATATAGATCGACTGTATGACTGCATAAATAAAGCTTTAGGCTGCTGTGTCTGTTTTTTGAATCACTTGTCTTTTGAGGGTATAAAAACACATTTATAAATGCTTTTGACTGTGTCCTTTATACAAACTCCAGTTATCTTTAGATTTTACAGGAGCACAATTCAAGACACTAGAGAGCAAGAGACTTAATTCCTCATCCCACCCTCCAACACACACCTTGCCTTTGGTATTCTGCATTATTTCCTAACTTCCTCTTTCTCTCTGAACAAGTGTAGTTCTCCAACATAGAAATATGAATTCTGGGAAGGCAGAGAGATTTGCAGGGATGATTAGTCTTTAAGGAGAAGAATTTGGAGAATTATATGCAGCTATTAGATAAATTTTTGACTTACAGATAATTATTTCTTCAAAAAGTAGAAGAATTTGAAAGTGCTCTTAGAATTAAACATACTAAAAAGCCTTAAGTCACCTTGTAGCCTAATGATTAGGGGTGACCAAATCTCACTTAGTCAACCATGGTACAAATCCTGGTCCCCAGAAGCTTGATGTGTACCCCAAATCCCTTACAGTGGTAAAAATGGAGAAATGGAGGAAGAGGGGTTGCTCTCTCTCTGTCTTTCCTTGGTGAGAGTACATGCCCTTGGCCAATTAAAAAAAAAAAGAAAAAGAAAAGAAAAAGCCTCGCATATTAATACTAGTTTCATCATACCTTAACAAGACATCCTGGACTAGAAAAGGGCATGATATCTTTCTATTTAAGTCTAGGATGCTGAACTGCATTGTGCTTTGTTTTCATTACACTAGTAAGTGGGCTCGCATACAGTACCTATTCACAGAAACTTACTAATAACAGTGAACTGGTATAATGACTTAATCCTCCAATCAAGCACATGGAGAACGTAGAATGAGAAAGTTATGTTCACTCCTGCCATCACTTGCTTTTTTCCCCTATCTATAAACTTTTATTTTTGATTCAGAGCATAATCTTCCTCTTCCCTTCCAACTAGTCTTCTCTTACAATTCCACATTTAAAAAAAAAAGTGACCAATAATCCATAATACATATAACTAAAAGTGATATTTTTAGATTGAGTTACAAAATAACTGCAAGTGAATGTTGATTACTTTGTTCAAATGATGCAGCTCAAATGCCTATATCTGTAAGGAGGGACATAGGCATGCTTCTGTAAATTGCTATTAATATTGGATTAGGACCAGCAGATGGTGTAATGGTTATGTTGCTAGATTCCCATTTAGTTGACTCCGGTTCACGTCCTGGACCCAGCAGCTTAAACTCACACGAGGTGCATGTGTGTACATGCCCAAAATCCTGAGAGGAGTGGAGGAAAAGTGATTGTGGTATGGCCATTCCTCCGGGAGGGGGGGGTGATTTCTCTCTTTATGTCTCTGTCTCTCTCTGTCTCTCTGGTGAGCACACACACCCTATAGCAAGAATCTCTCAAAAAAATTAGTTTAATAAAATCCTCATATTGGGACAGCAGTTGGCATAATGGCTATGTCACTGGACTCGCATGTGGTCAGCCGCGGTTTGAGTCCCAGACCTGGTGGCTTAAACTCACACCGGGCACGTGTGTGTTTGTGCCCAAGATCCCAAGAGAAGAATGGAGGAGAAGGGATAGCAGTGTGGCCATACCCCTGGTGGGTGATTTCTCTCTTTCTGTCTGTCTTTCTGGCAAGGGCACATACCCTATAGCAAAAACCTCTCAAAGAAAAAAAAAAAAAAATCCTTGTATCATTATAATCTTATACTAAAAAAGTCCCCTTTCTATCCCCAATTTGCACCTTCCTTTTCTTCTGCTTCAACTGAGAGACTCAGGTCATCAGAGTCCCATGTACCTAGTAAGGCACAATAGCTATGGGGACATATGAGAGGAAAATAGGGTGATACCTGTGACACCAAATATACTGTACTTGAAAATTAAATTGGAATAATGAAGTAATGCACACTGACCTCAAATTGCATTTGTTACCTCTTTACCACAAAATGTAGTGACTTAAAAAGCAATTATTTGATCATTTCTCATGATTCTGTGCTTGAATGGGCTCAACCAGGTAGTTCTACTTCATGTGGCATAAGCTGCAGCTTGGGTGTTTGGCAGGGCCAAGGCAGCCCCCTCACTTGGCTGGCAATTGGCCCTGTTAGCTAGAAGTTTTCCTCACATGGCCCTGTACTTGGTCTCATGTTTCCAATGACATCATGGCTGGGATCCAAATAGGAGCATCCCAAGAACCCGTGTTCCAAAAGGGACAAAACAAAAGAGCTGAATCCTCTTAAAGGTCAAAGCTCAGAATTGGCATAACTTATTTAGGAATCAGTCCTAGGACTGAGTCCCTCACATGGTGTGGTTAAGGGGGTAACATTGGAATTTCAATGAAAGGACTGAGGATTTGTGGGCCTACCTTAAATCCACACTAGATACTCAAAGGCACAGAGGAAGGGATTCACAAGGAAACCTAGCCAGATTACGAAGTGGTTGATGGGAATTAGTGGAGAAAGATTTCATACATTGGGTTGAGTAGAATTAGCCAATTGCTAAACAAACAGTGAATGACTGTCTTTTAGTTTAAAAATAATAATATTATTGTATTTTTTGAAAAAAATGTGGCATGATGGAACTTAATTTGAAAGAAAAACACTCATGATTTTCCTTTACCTTATATTTTCAAATGAACTAGTTTGAAATTTTCCATCTAGCCATCTCCTCTGGGAGGTGATTTATCACTCTCCCCTTTGCCCCTGTCTCTCTCTGTTTGTCTCTCTCAGCAAGCACAGATGCCCTATAACAAACAAACAAAATTAACATATGAAAAAAATGCCTAGGAAAAGTCTATTCTTTCATAAACCAAAGGAATGCTATCAGCAATGATCTTTCTCGTCTACATTTTTATCTCTACACCATAGAGTCACAAATGATAAGCCCTTATTATTAAATGTAACTCCAAATAAAACTGAGAGGATATTAAAAATTAAGCTATTTCAAGGTTGTAGAATTTGTCAGTGAAAAAAATATCTCACTTGACCTTCAATTTTATTATGATGGGTTTTATTTTCTTTCTTTTTTTCTTTATAGAGATTTTTGTTTTAGGGAGCATGCCCTCACCTGAGATACAAAGAGACAGAAAGCAAGAAATCACTCCCCCAGGGGAGGATGGTCATGACTCAATCCCTTCTCCTTCATTCTCATCGCAGGATTTTGGGCATGCATGCACCTGTGCCTGGCATGAATTTTAAG